TAGACAATATTTCAAAGCGGAAGCGAAAATCGTAGGTAATTTTGCGTTTCTACGAATTCGATATCGGAACGATGGTATACTGAATCGAGAACTAAAGGTTTGCTAATAATGAAATAATGATTAAAGGATGGAATACACCAGGAACACGAAAAGTAGCTCAATATTAATTCCATTGGCGGTAATTTACTTAAACTTCGAAGTACTGGAAGAATGCTCGATGTGCCTTCTCGTCGTATACTATTCGTTGGCTAGAAAAAGAAGAAAAAATTTCTTAAAGTCATTGATCGGGATGTAATGTTGTCAAATTTTTTATTTCTTTTCAATATAACTTTTAAAAATTAAAATCTTTTAAATATTTATTTTGTGAATAATACTTTCTACAACTTGAAGAGCTTCTGAAACTTGTTTGATTGTTAATGAAACTACACTACTGCATTTTTTGGTATATTCAATATCTTTGTAAATCATTTAAAATTTAGGAGCGGTATGAATTTCTGATCAAAGCATCATGTCGACGAAAAGATGCAACAAATTTGGAAACAACAACTGTGGTTAACTTACTTGTAACAGATCAGAATGATGCAAAACCAATATTTGAGAAAGATGAATATCGAGCTGAAGTAAAGCAAAATGTTTGTTTTCAATTTTATTTTCTATCAATAATAAATCCTGAAATTTGAGTGCATGCACATGCATGCATGCGTAAATGTTGTACCATACTTGCAACAATAACAGCAATTTCATAACTTATAAAATAGAAATGCGTAGACTTTGAAATATTCTCTTGGCTTATGAATTCTGTACTGCTTTGCAGATATCACCGTTTACCACCATCCTGCAGGTGCAAGCATCTGATGCAGATATTGGTCTGAATAGTCAAATTTATTATTCATTAGTGGAATGGTCACTTGATTTTATGGTTGATCCGATTTCTGGTGCTGTCCGGAATTTACGATTCTTAGAATCTGGCACCTATGAATTAACACTTTTAGCGGAAGATCGAGCTTCGAGACTATTCCGAAAAAAGACTCATAATGATGATGAAAATGATCTTTTCAATCACAATAAAGCTAAAGCGGTTTCTTTTTTATTAATAAATTTTTTACAATTATGAAATATATCTCTTGCATTGTTGTCCAATATTTTAAAATGATTTTGTGAAATGACAGTAATTCTCAGACTCTTAACAAGAAGTTTATAACTCTCTACCTGAATTATTTACTATAATGCATATGTTATAGTTGAACATGTTTGAATTTAACTAGTTTATTTCAGTGCTAATTAGGATTAATAGGCAGTAGGATAAATAATTCATTTCTTATCCTATCATATTTCTTTTCATCTTTTCACCTTCGATCTTTCTTGGCGGCTGTAATTAACACCACCATTGTTATCAGAGCTTCTCACTATCGCAATCTATTATCAAGTTGTGAATTTCATAGGTGATAATAGTAGAGCCAGTGGAGAAGAATGCACAAAAGTTAAGGGTTGAAGTGAAACCGATATCAGCCAATTTATGGAATGTTACACAAACAGTCGCAATAGCGAGAATAGAAGGAATGACAGCAAATGCAGTTGCCAAGTTAGAAATCGTCGATAGTGAATATGCTGGCGCTTTTGTCGTAAAAAAAGATTCAAGCGGTGATAATGTTTGGCTAATTGAAACTGTCGCTGGTTTGCATTTTTATGAAATAATCACTTATTTCATTTTCTCATTTGCTTTTGTTTTATTGCATTGTCAACAAACGATTTTAATTGGACGAAGAATTAATTGGTATTGCAGTAGTGGCAGATGAATGTTATTTTGTCTTACAAAACAACTTCGAATCAATTTATTTGAAATACTAATTTCTACTCAAGAGAATTAAAGAATTAAACTAAATTAAGTTAATATGTCAAAAATTACTTATATTTTAGATCATCCTAACATGCATATACACGTTTTATCCACCATCCATATCCAGATTTGATTTAAATTTTGAAGTGTCTAAGAAATCGAAAAAACTTGATGCGAATTAAATTCAAATGTAATTGTGATATAATGAACTTATTGGAGGTATTTGGCTACAACCTGACTGGTTTATTCAACTGAAAGCAATTGCTGTTGATGATTTTGTAAAAGATCTGATGGCAAACATAAGTATACAACTGGTAGGCAAACAATCGATACAGTTTGAAAATTTATCAGTTATGCAAATTATTATCAACGAATCGGTACCATTAGGTTATGTTATCACACAACTGAAAGCTCATGTTGTAAATGGTTTCGATGGAGACGATGAGCAAATAAGGTTTGATATGTTTGTAACATAAATTAATTTTAGCAAAATTTACATTATTTTAGTTATTTATTTACCGTCTGAATTATAGTGAAAAATTATAGTAAAAAACGGAATGAAAAAATTATGTTAAGATAATTAGAAAATGTATTAATTAGAACTAATTCGTGGATAATAATAATTAGATAGAACCTGTGGAATGTATTTTACAACAAACTACTGTAAAGCTGTTATCAAGATACTATAAAGTTACTGTAAGGTACTGTAAAGTATTGCCGAATTACTGTGCAGTTATTATTGCCAGATTACTAATTGAATAGCAGGCAATTCAAATCATCAGATTAGTTAATATTTGCGAGAATGGATTAATCAGAAATGTTTATAGTAAATAGAGACGTAGAAAGGGAATAAAATTCTTTGTTACTTTGACGTAGCCATGAAAATTTTCATTAATTCTGGAGCAAAAATGTAAAAAAAAACTATGTTTAATTAAATTTTTCATAGGTATTCAACTTCAAACGCTGACAAAAGTCTGCCTTTCTCTGTTGATGAGAATGGCGGACATTTAAGATTAATCAAATGGCTTGATTACGAAAATGTGTCACTGTATCGTTTTGAAGTTTTTGCTAAGGTTGGTCATTCCTCTCAACTTTGTTGAATGTTTTGAATGTAACGAATTAATATATGAAAGCTAATCCAAGTTATCATAAATTTAATTCTTCAATAAATATAATTATTGAAAGAAAGATTGGCTAAATTCTATGCTTTAACTTCATGGATTCATTCAGATCTAACTTGTAGAATATATTAATTAGATTTAACTTGTCGGATGGTATTAATAGGATATAAGTTGTAAAATGTATTTAAAAGTGAAATTGCTTATAAGCGTAGATGATGAAGTGTTATAGAGGATTGGAAATGTTGTGTTTCAGCTTTTGGACAGTACTTTGGAAGCAAAGAAGGAGGTTGAAGTAATCGTTGTAGACAGTAATGACCATTGTCCAACTTTTGCTGCGAAATGGGCTCGAGGTGATCCTATTGGTAAGCTGCTTGCAAATATTGTTTCTGATTGTTCTAATTTAAAAGAATTCCCATTTTTGACATTTCGATTGCGTCATCTGGAAGATGAAGAAGTTAGGATATGCGAGAAATTAGGAATAATCAATGCTATATTAGAATTTTAATAAATTGATGGAAATTTTGCATGTTTTAGTTTAATCCTTAATTGTCTTACCTGAATTAATTTATGTAAGAAAGTTTAAAAAAACACACAAAAAGATTATTTCATCTCAGCAAAATATTATTGCAATGTCAGTATATAGCATAACAATAATTTAGCTAAAGAAGCTTCTGTTAGCTTCCACACCAAAATTATTTTTTTCGAATGACATATGTTGTACTTCTCTTGATTTAAATTCAAGATTTGTTAAATCTTTTCATAGAAAAATAATTAAAGAAGATATTGTTATTAATCTCAATGGATGAAAATTGATTCTTCAATTTAAGAAATAAATGCTATTGCATTAAAATTTTGCAGCTTTTCCTCGGAATTATCCGCTCAACAAAGTGTTGTTCAAAGCCGAAGCATTGGATATCGATAGTGGCGCAAATGGTCACATCCGATATGAACTGCTGAGTGAAACTCCTACCACTACGAAAATCTTTACTGTCAACTCTGATACAGGCGAAGTTTGTCATCTATTTGTAGCATATTTAGTAAAATCGTCGGGACAGAAATTTTTTATTAAAAAAAAAAATTTTGACAATCCTTTCATTATTGATATTTCTTTTTATTTGATATGTGTCAAATATTTAACATATAAAGCACAACAAAGTTGAACCAAAATTCATCTAATTAATTTCTTTCCAGGTTGCATTACGTGAGCAACCCCCAATAAACGAAACTCAGTGGAAATTTAGGATTCGAGCATCTGATAGCGGATGGCCATTTCCGCGAAGCAATGAAGTATTGATTAGTATTTACATAAATGGTACAAATGCACCTCCCAAAATAAAGCCATCGCTTCTGCGTGAAGGACAGAATGAACATTCACCGATTATCATAAATGAAACTGTATTTGTCGTATCAGTGGATAGCTCACCTGGAAAGGTATCCTTCTTCTTTCACTTTTAAGTTAAACTTTTCGTTTTCAATTAATATATCAATGTTTTTCCGCTTCTTCATGCTTTTTTTAAAATATAAATTCCTATATGATGGATTATTTAGCAATCTTAAGGAATAACAAAATATTGATTTGATAAGTAAAACGATATTCAATATTTAAGGATGAGAGAGGAAGGAGGAGGCGAAAAATTTATTCAGAATTATTAATTTTATAAATAATATCTTTATTTGATAGTAATTATATAGCAAAAAAAGATCATCAGTTCTATACAATACTTGATAAGGTAACAATGGATATTGGTAATAATCATTATTTGGTAATTAATTCCACCGCTTTCGACCATTTATTTATCAGTAGTCAGTCTTATAATTTTCAGCAATCTCTTTTAACTGACGGCATATAATTTCTTCGTAATATAATGGTCATAATATCTAATCAATATTTATCATCAATAGAATGATTGCTAAAGTTATTGCAATGAAAATAGCACATTTCTTTGTATATCAAAATTATAAAATTAAGAAATAAAATGAATTCTTTTAGGTGCTGGGACGAGTTGAAGCTCATGACGATGATGTTGGCTATGCTGGCCTGATACGATTCGGTACTTTTGACAGATTTTTTGCATTGGAGCCATTTACTGGTGAAATTATTCTATTAAGACCATTGACAGATTTGTTGAGAAATGCAAATAAATCAAAAAAAATGAAATACATTATTCAAATAAGTGTCTGTGATTGGGGACAGTCTATTCGATGTACCAGTGGAATGATTACAGTTCTAATCACTGAAGCCAATGTATATAAGCCACGCTTCGAAAAGGTATTTAAAGGATTTCCAATTAAACCAATAAGTAGTTAATTAATTTGTTTAAGCATTCCATAAATTAAAAGAAACTAAATAAAATAAAGACTAAAATATAATTTTTTTTAAGTCTTTCAAATTATTTTAGCTTCACTATCGCGTACGTATAGCGGAAAATACGGAAATTGGAAGCAAATTTTTAGAATTATTAGCACAGGATAATGATTACGGTGATAATGGACAAGTTGGTTATCAGATAATCGATTCACAAAGTCATTTTCAAATTGGAGAGAATAATGGTGTTTTGGAAGTTGTAAAAGAACTCGATCGTGAAAAAATAGCCATTCATCGGTAGATTGTTATTCCTTTCAACTACAAATTATTGTATAAATTTCGAGTTTCTTAATAGAAATTTATTTGATATGAGATTGAGAAATAAAATTTGATAATGGATTTGATAACTTTTAGACTAACAGTTATGGCATTCGACCACGGATATCCGATGAAAGTTGCATTTGTGAATGTTACAATTATTCTCACTGATATTAATGATAATGCTCCTCTGTGTGCTGAGCCTATTCGCAAAGTATAAATTTTTTGAAAAATACTTTTTTTTCCTCTAAAGCAGTTATTTGAAATTAATATTTAAAATGAGCATCATTGATCGCTTTATTTTCTCAGACAATAACAATTTATGATAATGAAGTGAAATTATTACTGTCACTTTTTCTCGATTTATCAGTTTAAATTGAATAAATTAGAATTGTACGAGGGAGTAATTTAATACTTAATTCATCTCTTTTGAATAATTTTATATTTTTTGGATAATTTGAATAATTTTATATTGTAGCATTATTCTTTAAATGTTAAATTCCATATCGATGATTATGTCATTGATCCTCATAGTTTTATTTCATAATATCTATTAATCGTATGCTGATGACACGGTAATATTTCAGGTGGTAATTCCGGAAGATTATCCAAATAACGTTTTACTAACATGCGTAACAGCATGGGATCCTGATGAGGGTCAAAATGGACAAGTAGCGTATGAATTTGATAGTACCATCGAAACGTCTGTTACGTTACCATTCCGCATACAAAAAGATACAGGATGTATTTTTGTAAACACTGATGAGCCATTTGATTTCGAAACCATCAACCTGTACAATTTGTCTATAGAAGTGAGTGATTTTCATTTTAATAATTCATCTATTTGTTGTTAATTAACAACCATAAGTTTTTATTGCATATTTTACTCATCGAGTAAATGTCCAAATTACTGTACCACCAAAAATATAGGCAATGGATAACGGCGAACCAATGTTAAGTTCTATTTGTACAGTATTGGTGGAATTTTCGGATGTTAATGAAAATTTATTTCCGCCGCTTTTCGATGATATTGCACAAGAAGCAACTGTTTACGGTATGAAATGCATTTTTTTTTTTTGAATTTAATATTTTGATAATTTTTACGAACTTTTTTAAAATTTCTAACAGTTATTCTCGGGTTTTTTCCCATGTTGTCGATATTATTTATTCAAGTTTTTCAACTATTTCTTATGATTTTGCAGAAAATATGCCTGTATGGACGGAAGTTCTTGCTTTAAATGCTATCGATCCGGATAATCCAAGAATACCTGTAAAATATACTGTTATCGATGGTGATGGAATTAATTCATTCACCATTGATTCGGAAGGTTCTCATTTTTCATTGGATTTCCAAAAAATTTATTATTCACATTTCATTATTTCATTTAATTAAGGATCATCCTTTGATTTTATAACCGTGAAGATTGTTTGTAAAATTTGTGTTTATTGTTTTTTAATTATTTTCTAGCATTTTTGCAAATATTTCATGAATCATAAATTTACAGGAATATTACGAACTTCGGTAGTTCTCGATCATGAAGTATGCGATTCTTACTGGCTAACAATTGAAGCTCGTGATCTGAGCCGAGTACCACTTACTTCCGTACTTCATGTGTTTGTTCGTGTTCTGGACAGGAATGACCACATACCACTGTCATTACGCCCTATATATTTTTCCAGTATTCCGGAGAATTCACCGGAAAATACAGTCATCATCAAAGTAATCACTTAATAATTTCTGACAACGCTTGTTACTGATATATTACTGATATAATTATTGCTGATATAGTCAAACCATTGATTACTGAAATTTATGTCTCTTTTGATTACCTGTTGTATTTCAGGTTCAGGCTGAAGATAAAGATAACCCTTCGGATCGTTATAGCATTACGAATATACGCTTTAAAATAATTAGTGGCGATCCTCAGAGTTTCTTCGCAATCGATTCTAAAACAGGTCAGTTTCAATATTTTTTGCAAGAAATCGTAGATTGATTCTGCTCAGAACTATTATGTATTTGTTGAGAACTCATCTTTTAAATATTTCAGGTTACGTAGTAACTCGCGGGAAAAGACGTTTGGATCGCGAAACTCAAAAAGAACACGTTATAGTAGTAGAAATCTGCGATCAAGGTGATCCAAAATTATGTGCCACGGTGCCAGTAGTGATAACTATCACTGACCTGAATGATAATTCACCTTCTTTTAAGCAAACAACTTACAACTTCAATGTACCGGCTGGTGAAATTGGTGAATTGTGTAGGTGGGCATAAATGTTACTATCATTGCCAGTAATTAATCTTTTTTATGACTTTCATGCAGTCTTAAAAAAAAAGGATATCGATCAATTTCAAATAATTTCAACTTATTTTCTATCCTTTAAGAATATTTGCCATCGATAGTGATGAAGGACAAAATGCTCGGTTGTTGTATAATCTCACTGAGGCGAATCCACGATTCGCTATTGATTCTGATGGTGGAATAATTACATCTGAATCTCTGAAGGAAAATGAAAGTTACCAATTGACCATTAAGGTTACATCCATTCCATTTATGCTTTGTATATGCAAATTTCAAAATTTTATATTAGTATTAGCACTTGATATCTTGGAGGAATAAGTTAGTTATGGAGGATATCAGTTAGATTGGAAGTGAATTGATTTAAATCACTAATAAACAATTTCAACTAGCTTTTAGGCAAGCGACATGGGTCAAATATCACAAACATCATCGCCAGTTTTGGTCACTTTGAATGCTATTGGAAGACCTGTGAAGACAATTGTACATTTTCAGCTGAAATTGAAATTAATAAATTTTAGAACAATTCTAATTCGATAAAATTTTGTAATTTTTGATTAAATGAAAAATTTCATGCATTTAAAAATGTAAAGGGAAATAGTAAGCCGAAGTTGTTGAATGAGAATCGCTGGACTCGACTCTCGATATCAGATGCTGATAGTATTGGTGAAACAATTGGAGTGATTGAGGCAGAAGATCCAGACGGCGATCAATTGTGGTGGAAAATCATTGATGGAAATCCAAACAATACCTTTGCTATAAGGTTATCCTTTTGTTATGAACTAATTTTTCAGTTTAGAAAATAGAAAGTTTTCGGACAGTTTTAAAAGAACTTTTTCTTTATGATATGTTTTGGTTAGTTTTATTTTCATGCTTTTCTGCTTTTCAATGAGTTTTGAAAAAATCAGTTAATAATTAGATAAATAGATATTAAAGAAATACAAATGCAAACGTTTAAATAATTTCCAGTTTCCTAAAAAATTGGAATATTATAATCTTTCGCCAGGTGAAATGAAATGAAATAAATAATGAAATCATAACTTAATTTTTACTATTTCTCCTAACTGCAGTTGCAATGCTGGAGAGTTATACTTAGCGAAGAGTGTTGATTTCATCATGAAGAATATCACTGAAGTGAGATTGAAATTCACCGTCAGTGATGGCCTTGATGCTACAGAAGGCATGGTTAGTTTCACAATTTAACTTTTATTCCAATACATTCTTCAAAATTTTTAGGGTAAAGAAGTTTAAAATTAAATGCAATAGGATAGAATGAATTAAATGAAATGGACAAAAATAGAATATAATGAAACATTTACCATAAGTAACTTTCGAGGATAAATCAATAAAATAATGCACTTTCCAGAGTTATAAATTACAGATATTGATTGAGATATCTCGAAAACATCAAAGTCGACCGGAATTTGATATTCAATATCATAAAATTTCGGCATCGAAGGTAGCACCTGTAGGAACGGTAGTGCATACCTTGAAAGCTACTATTGAACAGTTGAATGGTTCTATCAATGATCGGGGAATAATTTTTGGAATACATGTGGTGGAGGATACTGCAGTTGCTGACAAATTGCGTGTCAATCCGAGGTAACTTATGAATTTCAGAAATCCTGACCTGATCTTTAGATCCACGCTTAGGTCAATAAGTTATTTCATATGCTTACAGTTCTGGAGAAGTGATCATTGCTGAACCGCTTAACAACGTCGTTACAAACTTATTCACATTGGTTGTATATGCTCGTTTCAATCAAATGATCAACTATGCACTGCTCGATGTGTCATTGTATGCTGAGACAAAAGCGCCACCGAAATTCGTTGTCTCCGAATATTTCACATCTATTTCAGAGAGGTTTGTTCAGCAATGGAACATGAAGAAGCGCTTTTAATAATTAACTCAGTAGTGTCATTGGAGTAGCACCAAATTTGAATTATTTCCTTTTTTAAACTTAATTCATTTATTAATTATATAAAAATTTATAATTTTCAGCTTAAAAAATGGGCACTAATCCACTTGTTGCACAAATAATTAATGAGGTTATTTCAGTTTAGCGATTAGCTGCTTTAAATTTTGTTTGTTATTTATAGCATACCGGTAGGAACAACAATTTTGACAGTGCATGCATACGATCCGAATCATAGCAATATTGAATATTCTATTATTGAAGGTAATTTGATTTGGCAGTGTGAAGTTAAATTCATTTCGATTTATGTTAATCAACTCTGTTTTAATAGTAATTAGCGTAGCCTAAACTGTAGTCCAACTCTGTTTTGTTAATTAAACTTTAATTTAACTCTATTTTGATAACTTAGAGCTGAGGTAGAAAGAATGAAAATTTCATTTTCATCATTATTTTAATTTGTTTGCTTACTTATTCATTTCAGGTAACGAAGACGGTAACTTTGTGATCAATGAGTATAGCGGTGAGATCAGAACAGCCTCTCCATTGATATCATACAATCATGAAGGAGTAATGTTGATTGTACAAGCTAACATCCAGCAAAATGATAGTTTAGCCGATCGATGCAATGTTGCAATAAACATACTCGACGATGATCTTGGACGTGTCAATTTTCCTCAGTAAGTTCAAAGTTTAATTCATAATTTTGATGTTTCATTTTAATAGCATTATTTCTTCCATCATCTTATTTTTTGGTCCTTCACATTTTATCATTGCTAATCTTTTTTTTGTTCGTCAAATATTCTTTACATATTTTTTGAAACATTTCGAATTGCAGTTTTAAAATTTTTCTAATAATCTCTTGTTTAAAGCCTTAAAATTAATGACATTTTAGAATTGAACAACAGGGAAAGTAATTTAAATAAGATGAGAACAGAGAAAAGGAAGCAAGAAAAGAGGAAAGGATAAAAGATAAATGAGAACAATACATATAAGGACCTCACTAAATATCTCGACCTGATTACTTAAAGTTCACTACTGTATTTCAAAGTTGAACTAAGACATCAGAATGTAAAAAATATCCCGATTAAGGTTCACTACTGCATTCTAAAGTTAAATCAACATATCAGAGTCAATATATGATGTTTCCTTAATCACTACTCCCAAAATATTATTTTATCATTGTTATCCGAGTTTTTATATATTGAAAATTACTTTTCAGATCATCATATTCTCTAAATATACATGAATCCACCCCACCCAACACGATTGTTTACATATTAAATACGGATAGTGTCACCAGTATTCGGTATAGTTTCCGGGATCCATGCCCGCTCCTCGCCGTACATCCCATTTCCGGAGTTATCTCTACAAAGTTTGTTACCAGCACTGCATCAGTTCCGCACACCTGCGTGGCTGTAGCACGAAATTCGCTTGGAACTGAAGATTTCATGGAATTGAAAATAAATGTAAGCTTTTCCTGCAATTATTACAGATTATCTCATTATTGTTTTTCTCACTTCCAATGACCCTATCTTCAAGAGCAGGAAAAGTCATAATGGATAAAGGAAAAAATTATGCGAAGTAATTAATTACCCAAAAAGATTTTAAAAAATGCCTAAAAATGAGAAGAAAAAAGAAAAAGGTAGGAACGAAGAAAATTACAGAAGGTAAAATAAAAGTTATTTTCGTAAAGAAAAAAGTTTTTCCACCTTATATTTCGATGTCTGAACTCTAATTATGATGTCTGAACCCTGCTAACTGATCTGATGATCTTTCCACTTTTAATATTTGATATGTGATAATTCAATTTTCAAATATTGTAATTGAAATACTATTATAGACCAAGTGGTTTTAGGTTATTAATGAGAATCAACATGCGCCGTACTTTAACAATACAGTTTATCAAGGATACATTAATGAAAATATGCCGCTAAGTTTGATTTTTTACTTGCAATATTTGAGTAATAAATTTAACGAAATTTAATTGCTTAGAAAAAAATTTCACTGGAAAAAGTCTTTCCAGGAATTTTTGAATTTTTTAAATCATAATAAGAAACGCTTTTTGCAGATTCATCGGTGCTATTGAAGGATGGTCGTCAATTACTCGTAAAAGCGATTGATCACGACAGAGGAATTAATGGGCTTGTTAATTATCGTGTTGTTTCACCGTTTGAGCCGTACTTCACAGTGGATTACATCTCTGGTGCTGTTTTAACAAAAGCAGAAATTGACTTCGAAAAAGTTGGTACTTTCATTAAAATATTCCAAAATCCATTATCGATAGTGATGCTTCTCATTAGGCTTAACAATATGATAATATATTTGAAATAGTTTTAACAAATGGGAAAGAACGGATCGTTCCTTCATGCATTTTGATATGAGATGTTGGCAAGAATATTTTCAATTAAAAATTTATTTTATATTTTTAAAGATACAATAAAAAAGGAGTTAGTTTTGTTAATACTATTACTAATTCATCAAATAAGCAACTATATTTAGTAATTTTCATTTCCAATTATCTTCTCATATTCTATCCTTAACAAATACTTCCTTTTCTTTCTTTTTATCCATGATTGATCATTAATGATATTTTAAAGAAATGGGTATTTTTTTTTGTTTTGATTTTTTGATTGAGGAAATATTCATTTTCAAATATTGTTTAAGATGAAATAATTGAAAAATGATTGATTAGTGATTGTATTTTAGATAAAATATTGGTCATTTTATGTGCAAGCAAGCGATTCTGCACCACAAATGTTAGCATCACCTGTTCCAGCGTTAGTTGCAATAACGGTTGTTGATATGAATGATATGCCACCAATATTCATCCAAAAACAGTACAATGCAACACTTCTTCTGCCAACTCTTAAAGGTGCGCAAAATGTTCACTTTCTGATCGCCATCTCTCTTCATAATTTTAATTTAATATTTTAATTTTGGTTTTAATTTTTGAACTTTAAAGGAATTTTAATAATTTAATTTTAAGCTGTAAAGGAATTTTAGATTTTTTTCGAAGATATTGCTCTGTAATTATGTAAATTGAAAAAGTGACGGTTACAATAAAGAGGCCTAGGAATTAATCCGCTTATTAAGTGTAAGCTTAGCAATTAATCGACTTATTATATAAGCCTAACAAATGGCCAACTTTTCCATGTATGAATTCTGTGCAGCGCTAATTCAATGGAAGGAAAAAACTCGAAATTGAATGTATCGTTATGATTTGATAATTGAACCCTTTATGAATGCCTAAAAATATTTCTTCAGGCACGACAATATGTTATGTGACAGCGGAAGACATGGACACAGTAGGTGTATTACGTTATGCTGTTGTCATATCCAATGATAGCAAATTATTTGCTGTGGAAGAATTTACGGGGCGCATTTATACGAATGGCAATAGTTCTGCTGATTATGCAAAAAACAATTATGAGGTGACTCGTAACATTCATTATCTATCATACTTTAAAGAAATGAATTTCAATCCTTTAAGAGCGAATAGTAAATTTTACTAATGAAATTCTTTACACTGATTTGTAATTTAAATTAGATTTTAAAATTATAAAAAAATTTATCTTTATTGTTTTTAACTAATATAGAACACAGTAAAATTTTAAAATCATGAAATGTTAACATTTCAGATTAATTTAGTCGTATCAGATGGTTTAAAATCAGATTTTGCGGTTCTGTCGATTCGTGTTGAAAATACTTCTCAGATTGAAAGTACAATCAAATTTTTGAAGACAAACTATGAAGCAATGGTAACGGAAAACAGAACATCTTCTGCAGTGGTTCGGCTATTGACTGTTAGCGCCAGGAGTACGGTAAACGATAGTCTTCTGTACAGCATTTTAAATCCAAACAACTACTTCACAATCGGTACTACATCCGGAATTATCAGTTGGACGGGTATAGCCATCGACCGAGAAAAAATACCAGTAGTTCAGTTGATTGTGCAGGTATAATTTTTGCGCGCTTATCATCCTTTTTTTCAATTTTGTAAAGAATTTTTAGATTTTCTTTTCTTTTTTCAAATCATAAAATTATAAGTGATAACAAACATCAACGTTCTTTTCAGGATGATCTTTTTTGGCCACAAAAATAATGTTCCAAAATTACTAAAAGACTAATTTCCAGGCACGGCGATTAAGTACCGGTAATGAACGAGCGCAAAGTATTGTGACAATTAAAGTTGAGGACAGAAACGATTGCGAACCACACTTCATCGGTCTTCCCTATGAACTTACCATTTCACGTGATGTTCGGCCAGGTGATAAAGTAATAAATGTGAAGGCTATCGATGCTGACGAGGGATTCAACGGTATCGTTAGGTTTGTTACAAATTTCATTAAGTGTGATTAAATTGAATCGAATATTTTCTTGTAAAAAGCCTTAATCCTTTAAGTAAGTCTATGAGAAGTACTGAAAAAAAAGCTGTTAAAACTTTTCCAAGTAAAGGAAACTCAAAAATAAGATCTTAAAACACTTGACTGTTAGTCTTATAATTTGCTTTAACTAAACGTTTTATCTAATTTCATTTAACTCCACGATTAAATCCTATCTATCTCTCTTTCTACATGTAATCTACTTCAGGTATAAATTAAAAAAAGGTACGAAGTATTTTGATATTAACAAATATGATGGAAAGATTGTTATAAGTCAATCATTTGAAGATGCTAACTTCGATAGTGTTTCACTGGAAGTTATTGCAGAAGATCAAGGTAAATAAACGAGTGAAATAATTTTGAAGAAATCGAATTTACACTTCCCATATAGCGGATTAACAGAACTAAAAAATCGCGAAATTTCTAACTAATTAGATCCAGAAATTGAAGCAATAATTTTCAAGCAAAAATTTAAAATAATCTGAATTTTAGGAGAACCATCTCTATCATCATCAGTTCCTGTCATAATACACATTGCTGATCGGAATATGCCAATAATTGGTAATCACTATCAAGAAGCTCATATTCTGGAAAATGTATCACCCGGTTCTTCGGTGATAAATGTTCATGCAGTAAGCGTTACAGGAGGTAGGATCGGCTATGCAATCAAATCTGGAAATGACGATAATCGTTTCAAAATTAACTTCGATACAGGTGATTTTTTTATCTCGTTATGCTAAATTAAAGGCATAAGATGGGCAAAAGTCTACTTTAAAGTAATCTGTTTTGCTGAAACAATATTTTAATTTATTAGCAATCTAATTTAATTTACAATTCATTTGAAAGCTCTATGATTTAAAATGAAAGGAAAAAATGAAAAAAGAAATTGAAATCTATTTTATTGGGTTGTAAAATGAATTTCATTTCAACTTGTAAACATCTATACTATCAAGCTAATGATTTACTTTATAATTTCATGTATTTTATGATTACATTGCTGTATCAAATAAGTCATTTACTTAGGTATGATAAGTGTGCACAAAGTGCTAGACCGTGAGAAGCGTGCTTTCTATAACTTAACTATTGTTGCGATCGACGTCACTCGACTAGGAGTACGGGCAGAGAGTTATGTGGTGATAAAGATTGACGATATCAGTGATACCGCCCCTCATTTTACTCAACTTTTCTATAACATATCAGTGAGCGAATCAACAGCCATTGGTACCCAACTTCTAAAGGTTAATTCAGATTTTTAAATCATACTGCTCACTTTTAATTGAATTTCAGAATGATGGTATTTAATACTGCTTAATATGCTTCGTATTTAATGTAGGTATTGTGATTGCAATTCTTCATTAATTTCAGGTTGAAGCAGTTGATCCGGATATAAATGATAATTACATTTCATATGGAATTATTGGTCCAAATGCTTCAGGTAATTTTCATGTATCTTTAAAAATATTAGTAACAAAGAAGGATTGAAGATTTGGGTTGATTTCAGTTAAAATAATATAATATAGAAGCTAACAGTTAGAAATTTTAATGCTTTCGTGTAAGAAGAAGTACAATTCAATATTGTAGTGCTTTCTGTGGATCCTCAAAATGGTGTTATATCACTCGTGAAATTGCTTGATTTCGAAACGAAACGATTGTTTAAATTTAAATTGACTGCTTCCGATTCAATGCAATTAACATCAGAAGCGGTAAACGTTTATTTGTTTAACTTTCCAGATATTCATTTCGTACAATGTAATAAAAGCCCTCATTTTATTTTATGAAAGATTGTTCGAAATTTTTTAAAAAAATTTTTTTATTTTACGTAACAAATTGTTCCGAATTTTACGTTAATAACATTTTCAGGATTTGCTGGTACACGTTACGGATGCAAACGATATTGCTCCGAGATTTATTGCAGAAACATTTCATAGCATAGTAGAAAGTGAAACTCCCATCAATCATTTCGTTGCAAAATTGGATGCCTCTGATGACGTATATCTCAAACTTTCACAATTATCATTTAAGCACAAAAATTTGAAAAATATTGATGGATTGGAAAAAGATTAAAATAGCTCAGAGTTTGAGATTCTTTTTGAAGTTTATTTTCTTTTAATCTAATAATGATTTATTAATCATTATTAGATTACTTCATTAAGAATACAAGAACTAAAATATTGAAATATTCCAGGATACCATATCAAATCTTGAGGATGGCAAGCGATTCCTATTCTCTATCATAGACGGTGATGAGACTTTGTTGCAAATCAACCGTTCGACAGGTGTTGTATCACTTTTACGAGCAGTTGATGAAGATGATCTTAAAATTGCTAAAAAAAATTTCAATATATCGGTTAGCGATGGTATTTTCACGAATTTTTGCTTGTTGACAGTGAAAATTATCAGAAGTCAAAGTGGGCAACAATCACCACGTTTTGAAAGAATGCATTACGCTATAAGTGTGCGAGAAAATAGGTACGATAATTATTTTATTTTTTATTTTGATATAATTTTATGATAATTTGTAATGGTTCAGTGGTTCATTAGTAATGGTTCAATGAAATAGTAATGAATGATTTACTAGAAATTCTTAAATTATACTTTTACAGACCAACTGGTATGACAGTGATGACAGTTCGAGCGCATAATGGCATATCTCCTCTAAAATATTCATTTAGCAATTGTTACACTGAAAATTGTTCTGAAGTATTGAATATTGATGAGACGACGGGTAGAATTTACACAAAGTTTGTTTGTTATTATTCAATCATGTGAAATTTTAAAATCATTTTTGAATTATTTTCATGTAATTCAAATAGTGAGCGAATTTTACAATAACCTTTTTTTTGAAGAAATCCATTTGATTATGAAGCGCAACGTGTTCATCATTTTGTGATTATGGTTACCGATACCGCCGATCGACGCGGTTTTGCTACATTAACTTTAAATGTAATTGATGAAAATGATAACATCCCGCAATTCATCTCATCAAATATCGAAACATCAGTACCGGTTGATTCACGTCCTGGCGAATCAGTCTTTATGGTAATTCTTTTAAACAGTTCCTTATCATTCATATCCAAATAAGTTAGATCTGACCTACTAGAAATCCACCCATCCTATCTGCTAATCGTCTCTCTTTCTTTCTATCATTTTTAATTTCATGATAAAATTCATATCTTATGGAAACGATTAAATGAAGTTATGTGTTAATAAAATCAAAGAAACCTCTAATCAAGTATCCCCGACAGCTGAAACTTTATGCAGTTTAATTTATGTTTAACCATTTTTAGGTATTTGCTTTTGATTGTGATATTAGCGATGAACTAGAATATAGCATTGTTAATATTGATGAACCTCGCTCCAAATATTTTACAATTCATCCGAAACAAGGATTGATTAGTGTGCAAGAACCATTAAATGATCTTGGTTTGTTACTTTATATATCGGTTAATTAAGGTTTGAATTGTAAGCTATCCTTTGGCTTACATTTTTCAGCCACTTTTAATATCTTTTATTCGAAACTAGTTGGTTGATTTGAACAGATTCGAACTGAAATTTAAGATCGATATGTCAAGCTTAGAAAGAGGTTATACCTTTGTTTGACCTTTGCAATAGATGTTGATTCATTTTCAGTTGGTGAGCAAATTTCCATGTTTATTCGTGTGACAGACAGCGCAAATCCTCCTCATCAAAATGAAACATCTATCATATTGAACATCAGTCCGATTACTCATCTTCCAAAATTCTCCAAATATCACTTCCTTTTCTCAGTACCGGAAGATGCGCCTATTGGAACAGTTGTTGGTCGACTCCAGCAGGATTCTCAGCTCGGTAATTTATCTGAGAATAAGTAAATTCAAAGTTAAAACAATAAGATTATCGCACTCTTCATTTACTTATTTCATAATATTGAACGGAACTATCATGTGTATGTATGACAAATAAATAAAAAAATTTCTTACTACGAATTTATGAATTTGCATTACTCTACACATTTTGATCACGTTAATTCATTGTAATAGCCAGAAAAATGTAAATTTTCAGAACTTTCGGATGTATCTTTTTCGTTGGTTTCAATGGATCATTTATCAGATTTCCCGTTTTCTGTGAAGCAAAAAAGTGGACAAATTGTTGTTAGCACTGGGCTGAATTACGAGAAAGTTTGTTTTAATTTGGAATTTGTGTTGAAGGAATTGCACTAAATGTTTAACTGATGAATGAATTAAAGTAATCATTGAACTGCTCGTCATCTCTTCGCGCGACAGTTCTCTCGTATTATATGTAAGAAGCATATGTCCTACATTTAAATCCTCTGAAATTTTTTCTGTCAGAAGGAATCTTTAACTTCATGTGTGCTAATTTCCTTCCATGATCGCTCTGATTCGTGAAGCAAATGTAG